ACTCTGTCTGGCGCGAACCATCCGGCTATCGGGAGGGGTGGCGACTCTGTCTGGCGCGAACCATCCGGCTATCGGGAGGGGTGGCGACTCTGTCTGAGGAACGGGACGGGCGGCACCGCCCGAGGGTTTGGACAGGGCGTCCTGCCAGCATCCAACAGACACCAGCCGGTGACACGCAGGAAATGCGGCCCTGCGGCAAGGCAGCCATGCACGCTGCGGCGTTGCTGCACAGAGGGATGACTGCAGGCAGGCTGTCTGCCCTTTAGGTTCGTCCCATTTACACTGACAGGCCACCCAGCCCCATGACTGTGCAGAATCCATTAGTGGGGGCAGGCCCATCCATTACTGCCTCTTTAAACCCTCCGAGGCACAGCAGGCAGGCACTCCCAACTCCCCCCCCACCCGTCTGACCCCACAGGCATCATACCTAGATACTGAGGTGAGGGAGAGGGGGGAGGTTGTTAATAGAAACCTCACAGGCCAGGGGGGGTCCTTATGGGGCTCATAAGCTGGCATATGGTTGAGCAACGTTAACCCCCCAGTGCAGACGCACACACCCAAGAGGGCACAGTTGCAGGCCCCACCCAGTTATAACGTCCTTCAGTCTAATCCAATCAGAGCTCCACAAAAGTGCTCTCTAATCTTCAATGTAGGTCATTTAAGAGCGGCGCCCCCTCCTGGCCATTCTTCAGGGCCGTCTGGCAGAGGCTCGCGCAGACCCAGGCCATGGTGAGCCCTTTGTTATTCAAGCACAGCAGTAAATTCCTTTTACCCAGTAAACGGTCGAAAAAGAACCCGTCGCGAACACGCTCAGACAGGAGCAAACGATCGCAGACACACACCCAGAGATGCACGCCCGCCGAGCGTAACATTACACCTCCAGCTACGCAGTCTGCCGCTACCGTTTCCTGAATAATCGGGGCACGACGAAACTCCTCTTGCCAAAAAACGCAAACCGTCTGTGAGGTGGAGTGGAATAACAAACCTATGTGTCAACCAGATTCGTGATGCCAAGCTAATGTCAGATCCTACTGCAGCTAACAGATGATGCTAATGAACGCGGCCTGCCAGAATACCATTGGCTGAGCCTTACAAAACACCGACGGCTAATGCGATGGCGGCCAAGACTAGGGGCTGCCTACGGGCCATCACTACAGCTCACTACAGCTCACTACAGCTCACTACAGCCCGCGTGAATGACTGTCAACAGCTGTCAGCCTGTCCGTCGTGAGGGGAGGAGCCGCAGTTGCACGTGCCAGCCAGCAGGGGGCCGCGGCACGTGAGTCCCGTCTCCCGTAGTGCCTGCACATAAACCCTGTTCAATATTTCAGCGAGGGGCCCTCTGAGGAGAGGTGGGTGGACTGCAGGGATGAGTCACACGAGGAGGCAGCGATGATGCTGCCGTTTTACCAAATGGCAGTTTGCCGGACGGGGGACAGGGATTTATCATGTGAAAACAACAACATTTATCAAGCACTTTTTAAAAAAAAATCTATGCTTTAAGATCCCAACTGCAATGAATTCTAGCTCAACAGGTGGAGCATTATGCCAACAGCACAAAGGTTGTGGGTTCAAATCCTAGGGCGCACACATAAATTGGTAACCGTTCCATATGCTGTAAAGTCTCTTTGGATAAATGCATGCGGTAAATGAGTTCATGTCAATTCACTCCACAGGCCGTCGAAACGTTCGGCGATCTCTCGTATCTTCCCGGATTTCTGACTGGAGAGACGCTTCACGTAATGCATTGCTCTGCCAGCAGGTGGAAGCACGGCAATATGGGAGATGGGGCAGCGCTCCCAAATTCTAGAAAGTACTAGAGGTGGCGGCCAATCAGCGAGCGGGGCGATGGAGGGCGTTCATGTCAGAGCGACATGCAGGACGAGAGGACACAGACACAAGGAGCGTCCATTTTCCCCCCGAATCTCGATCCTGTTCTCTGCTGGTTCTTTGGTTACCATGCCCTTCCCCCCCCCCCCACTGGGTCAGTTTATGGGCTCTGAGTAACACATCTGAGCACCTGATCTCTCTCTTTCTCTCTCTCTCTCTCTCACACACACACACACACACTTACAATCAGTTCTACAATCAGACATTCTGATTTGCCACAAACATGCAAAAAAAAAAAACAAGCATGTCCCCATTGATGAAAATGCATCTCACTTTCAAGCCTCTGGATATTAAACCATCAAATGTTTCCAGTTCTGACATATAAGCCATGTTACATCCACCTGACTTCCATTTGGGAGCTACGATCGGTGGACAAACATGTAAAAACATTGCTGGAGTGGTACGAGCTACCTGCTGAAGTGTAGTTCTAAAACAGAACAGCAGGTGGCAGTGGTGACCAACTTTCCAGGGTTGACGCTCCAGAAACAAAGCAACACAGCAATAAGCAAGATAAGTGGCTGCGGGAGGAATGAAGTGTACACAGCAAAAGCAACATCTGATCGAGATTAAAAAGCACGCCGGCCCTGTTCATTCGGAGCAGGCCTCTGCAGCCTGGGGACTCACCTTGGCCCCCGGCTCACTGTGGGTGCTGCTTCTGGGCTCCTCGTCGGCCTGCGGGGGGCTTCTGCAAGGGGACACACAGCCGGGTCAAGTGTTAGCGTTAGCATTAGCTCTGAAACTGCACCTACCACCACAAGACCCCCCCCCCCCCACCCCACCCCACCCCACCCCCGTGCTGCTTCAGGCCCTATCTGGGGGTGTTCATCCATCAAACCAGTCTGGATGTACTCATGGGGAGGCTAACAGGTTTAATAAGAAAAATGAGCCCACCCCCCCCCTCCAAAGACAGCTAAACTGCACATCAAGGTGAAGAAGCCCCACAGCTAGAAGCAGAGTGACACGTTGCAGTGCACTATAGCCTGATAACGGCCCCCACCCTGAAAGAGGGCCCGTATCTCCCCCCCACCCCAGAAAGCAGCCTCAGAGCCTGAAAGCAGAGCGGAGATATTCTGGGCTGGAGGAGCCGCCCCACCACAGCCACTGCCTGTTTCCCAGCAGAACCATTAGCCAGCCTCTGATGTGCAGGAAGTCAAAGGGATTTCCTGCTAACGAATAAACAGTCTCCTTCCTGTGGGGGGGGGGGGGGGGGGGGGGCCCCCCCCCTCCGGGGGGGGGGGGGGGGGGGGGGGGGGGGGGGAGGCGCACCTCAGCTTCAGGGAGGCGTAGCGCAGGGTGGCTCCCTCAAACTCCTTCAGGCTGGGGTCAGGGTTCACCATCGCCTCCTGCAGGTCCTACAGAGACAGCAGCAGCCGGGCTCATGAAGGCTCCACCGTGCCCCCCCGCCCCCCCCAGGACCGACAGCATGGTCGGCGCCTCCCAGCCAGCCCTGTGGCCCGATCGCGCTGCCTCTTCCTTCCCACATGCCCACATGCATGGGCTGGCCCACCCCCCCCCCCCCCCCCCCACAGTGAAGCGTGTCACATGGGAAAATAACATGCCCAGCGAAAAAACAAAAAAGGGTCCATCAGCGACAGGAACGCAGCTCAAACCGAGGCACCGAGGTTACTGGTGATGGAGGGAAAGGGGAAAGTCGGACAGACATAGAGACAGAAAGGCAGACAGAAAAAGAGAGAGAAAAAGAGCAAGTTAGACAGAAAGAGAAAAAGAAAGGCGGACAGAAGGAAAGAGAAAGAAAAAGAGTCAGGCAGGCAGGGAGAGAGGAAAACAGAAAGGCTGAGGGACAGAGAAAGAAAGACAAAAAAGGGAAAAAAGAAAGACAAGACAAGAAAGGCAGACAGAAAGAGAGAAAAAAGACCAACAGAGAAACAGAAAGAAAGAAAAAAAGAAAGAATGACAAAGAGAAAGGCAGAAAAAGACAGGAAGACACAAAAAGAATGATAGAAAAAGAGGGAGGGCCTCGAATGACGTTACGCCGGCCAAGCGCTCAGTCCCAGCCATTTTCGGAAGGGAGGAATGGGGACGTGAGCAGCGGCGGTGAGCAGGGGCTGATGGGAAAGCAGCAGGGGCTGATGGGAAAGCAGCGGCGGTGAGCAGGGGCTGATGGGAAAGCAGCGCCGCATGCGCGTGCTGGTGGCGGGCGGGGGGCACGGACACGCACTCGCCAATGTGGACACAGATACTTGCCTTCCAAACCTCACTATCAATCTTTCCCCCACTCAGCACCGCGAAATCACTCCACGGCAGTTTCTACACAGTCATTCGTGTAGACGGGGGAGGGGGGGGGAGTCGGGCGAGGGAGGGGGTGGGGGGAGAGAGACAAGACATGACGGTTAGCAGGCTCCTCCCACACCGCTCCAATCGGACGGGCCGTCAGCAGCTGGATATCTAACGAGACTGAGCCAGGGTCGAGCCGGTCGGCAGAGGAGGCTTCTGGGAATGGCGTGACAGACAGGAGACGGCCGGCGGAGCGAAGCGCGGCGCTCACCTTCCCATCATGCTCCAGTGGAAGGTCCGCGTGGCCTTCCTGCTCCTCCGTGACCTGCAGCGATGAGGTCCGAGGCTGTAGGGGCAAACGGGGCATGTCAGACACGCGCCTTGTGCCGCTCGCATGTCTGGGCCGGTCGGCCGCTCAGCACATGGCTCACAGGCCCCGGCCTGAAGACCCTGCCGGTTGGTGTGAAGGGGACTGGGGAACAGGTCCATCACCCTTGCTAGGCTTCACGCGGCAGGGCCCGCCCAGCTGCTATGTATCGACCAATCGAAACGCTCGATCCAAATAAATCATGCATGGCGGCCTATCCAGGAGAGCCTGGAACTTAACTCAAGGCAAAAGAACCAGCTCATGTAAAAGCTTGGGACAAGCAGGACTGTGGACCATAGTGCCCCCTATGGCACCACATAAAAACTGCACCACCAGGCAGGACGTGGTGAAGCCGCGAGGTCTGTTGGTTGCAGTGATCTCAAGGTTACACAGCGTTACATTTTGACATCTGGCAAGTAACCTTTTACTCTCCTTAGCCGTGAACAAGAACACAAAGGTAAACAGGCCCTGAATGCACCTCACTGACCTCCCAACCTGAAGGGGGCGACCTTGCACCCCCCAGTCATCTGATGAGAGGTTACAGGTAATGGGTGAGGTGGAGGTCGGGTTCGACGGGGGTGGATACTTACGAAATAGCAGCTATTGACAAAGCCGCAGGAGGGGATGGACACGTCGGCGGCGGGCAGCTCCACGAGCTCCTCCGAGCTGCCGGAGACAGCGCCCCCTGTAGCCTGAGGCGCCTCGAAGAACACGTCAGCCTCAGCGAGCACCTGGGGGGGGGGATCACAATGAAGAGATCAGAGCAAGGGGAGCAGGACAAGCCCTTCTACACACGTGGGGGGAGAGTGAAAAAGTGGCCTTCTGCGTCTGTTTTTATTTACGTATCAAACACGACAAAACTGAGAAAGCAGTCGGCCAGTCCCTGGAGCAACTGGGCGGTTAAGGGCGTTGGCTCAAGGGCCCAATGGTGACATCACTCTGCCGACCACGGGATTTGAACTGACGACCTTCCGGTCTCGGGCCCAGCATGTTGCTGACCCACACAGCACCGTGTTCACAGGGAGTATGGTGCGAAAACAAGCCGGTTCTAACGGGCCTGTAGTCGGCAGAAACCCCAGAAACCAGGAGATGCCCCCTGGTGACTGGGGCCCAGTGAGGGTCTGTACTGGTGTTACTGGGGGGGTGCTGGGTAGGGCCTTTCGGACCCGGGAAGCCCCAGCCGCAACGTACCTCGTTCTCAGGGGTGGGGGACGGTGTCAGCGAACCCCTGGGTGGCTTGTGAGCGTCCTGCAGGGCGGCGCCGTTGTGCCCGGAGGCCGGGTGCTCCCACTGCGTGGTGCCTGTCGGGATGTGCCAGTAGTAGATACCCGCCATGTCTGTTATTTTCTTCCATCCTGGTGGCAGGTCCGGGTCCGTCTGGTAGGACTGGTCACTCCAGATATCTGCAGACACGGACATATGGCACGCTCACGCTACGGGGAATCAGGCCTCGTCGACACACTGACTTAAACCCCCGGATTCGGTCACTCGCATCACCGAGGCATGGCATTAGAGCAGAGAACAGGCAATGTGACACAGGTATGCAGTGACATGGACACAGGCAGTGACACAGACACACAGCGACACACATACACAGTGACAGTGACATGCAGTGACACAGACACACAAAGATTCTCACAGTGACAGTGATGGAAACAGTGACACAGACTTGCAGCGAAACAGACACACAGATACACACAGCTACAGTATCACACACCCCACGTGCCTGCCAGCAGCCATTTTGGCTCAAGCCTCAGCTCACTCACGGGCGTTTAGAGGGGGGCCGCTCAGCTTGCGTGTCCTTCACCCTCCGCTACTCTCTGGATCCCCAACAGCAGTGTGTGTGTGTGTGTGTGGGGGGGGGGTCCAGGCCTAACCCTTCCCCTAAGACCAGGCTGACACAATTTTGAAATCCCACCAGCCAAAAATACCTCTGCTTTTTACACAGCAGGAACGGCAGCGGGCAAGACGCCCGCGAGTTCGTCAGTCTGCTTTCCAGCAGGAACCTTTTCCCTCTGCCTCTCGCTCCAAGGGTGTCAGTCCTGCCTCACAGTGCAGAGTCCAGACACTCACCAGGACAGGACATCTCCGCTGAGAGCGCAGATAAAGTGATTAATCACCCCTGCCTTTTAGTCTCACTCTGACACGGTACTCAAACCAACTCAGACACAACCCCACCAATGAGAAACACAATCACCCCACCATCTAACAGCTATAAAACACGCCCACAGCAGACGCCTGGGTATCCTGTAAAGTCTCAACAGCGGAAAGTCTACATGAAATGAAGCTTAATTCGGCTTTTGTGTATCAGAACAGGTACGCTGGAACGTGTTATTCGGATATACCGCAAACACACATATAGAGGTGACAGTGAAGCAGGGGTCTGAGCCCAGGGTCAGCCATTTATAAAGCAGCCCTGGAGCATTTTGGGGGGGGGGGCTTAAGAATTTCCTCAAGGGCCAAACGGAGATGTGGCTACATACACTGCTGAGCATGGGACTCGGGATGCAAACCAGCATCCTTCCGATCACGGGCATGAGCCACACACCGCCTGCCACCCCCCCCCAACATGATTCTTACCTTTTTTTTTATACACCAAGCGTTTCTGCACACCTGCAAGTAGATCACACCGTATCGGCTCCCAAGCAATCCGTCGATATGAACGCCCCGAAGCCGCCGGCCTTGCATGTTACCCACCGCCTTCATTTAAATGCAACCGTCGCCTGGACGACGACATCACAACACTGACGACCCCCAGCTTATATTCAGCAGGGTACCTGGGACATGTGGTGACGATAGATATGAAACAGAAACGGCTTCTCTAGCTGCGTCTGACAGAAGGAGGACACCAACAATGACTGCTCCTCTATTCAAACGTCTCCCTGATGAAACCCAGATCGAACAAAACAGATGCATTCTGATCCCTCATTCTATACACTTTAATTCCAGCTTAATATGAACCCTCATTCTCCAGCGCCAGGTTCCTGCACCTGACATCAGCCCTGGACGACTGTTTAGTGCTCAGATTCTTCAACAGATCAGATTAACGGGCACGGACTGGCCCGCTGAGGGCTACCACGGGTCAGGGGTTACACTTTGATAACCTGAGGAAAACTCGCGTGCCCGTGCGTTTTTGCAGGAAACGATGCTTTTTAATGCAAGACAATAGCCCAGCAGAAATGAACAGAACTAACATCCATTCGGGGCATTACAGCTACATTCAGCTCCAGCCCTTGGTCATGGAAAAGGCTGTCAAAGAGGTATCTTCCAGACCAGTGTTTCTTAAGCGGGTCCTCAGGGACCCGCAGAGGGTCCACATTTTTGCTCCCCCTCAGCTCCCAGCGTATTGGCTGTTCCTGATTGGCTGGGAGCTGGGCGGGAGCAAAAACATGAACTGTATTTGGGTCTCCGAGGGGCTGGTTTGAGAAGCATTGAAAGACCGATGCGGAGGACGGTCACAGAGTTTACCACGCAGCAGCTCAAGCATTCGAAAGACGCAGCAAGCCGAAGGGAGTTGAGGACATTCTGTGCCTTAAGGTGACACCACAGCGCTGCTCCAAGGTGACGCAATACATTATTTAAAACCTCGCGGCCAGATCACCAGTTGTATCATGTTCTATTATCGACGATGATACCACAGCGTTTATCGAAAAGGAAGACAGGAAGCTCTGCGTTGACATGGGGTATGGAAATGGCCGGCTTCTGGAGAACAGCTTCCATGCCTCGAGTTAAGACCATTAAGGTCTAATCTACAGCACGTCTAGCAGATAACTGAACCTGGAATGGGCCTCACCAGAACTCACCGACCAGACACCCATCTTGTAATTCCCAGGGATGATCTGTAGCTACTTACTTTCTCCAGCTGCTATGGGCACGTTTATGAGCTTAGGTGAAAGACGGGGGACGTGTCGAGTCTCGCCAAGGGCTGAGCTTCCCCCAGATGGCACTGCCTGGGGGCCGACACCCCCTCCGTCTGCACTGGCATGAACCGACACCATTACACTCCCCGAGAGCAGATCCGGTTCAGCGCCGGTTTCTTTGGCGACGTGAGGAAGCCCCAGGAGACCCCAAGGTGGCGCTCACGCTCACGCTCACGCTCACGCAGTCTTAGTATCAGCATTACGCCGTTCTCCGCCCCTCCCACGCAATACCACCAGGCATACAGAGGGGGGCGCCCTACAACTCTTTGAAAACCAGCTCCTGCGAACCAGAACCTTTCAGACATTAGAACTCGCCTTCGCCGTGATCCGCGCCGCTCACCTGCTTCCTCTGGGGAGCTGAGGGAGGCGCTGTCCTGGGACAGTGTGGTCCAGCTTGAGTCCTCGTCGCTCGGTGCCAGGTTCTGGATGCGGTTGAGGGCACAGTCTGTCTTGGCCCCCGTCCGGGGCCGGTCCTTCTTGGTTTCGGAGGCGGAAGACGAGGAAGACGAAGAGGAGGCCTCCGACAACAGGGTGACATCCTCGGGGCTGGACTGCTTGGGGGGTGTAGGAAGCTCATGTCGGCTTTGGGGCGCGTTGGCGTTATACTCCTGGCCGGCGTGGTCGTCTCCGTAGTACTCCAGAAAGCTCTTGGACCTCCTGGGCGGGGCCCGGTTCTCCTTGCCCTCAGAGATGACGGCGGTATCCTCGGCGCCATTCCCGTTGTCGACGTTCTTGTTGCAGTCCTGCTGCTCAGCGGCCTTGCGCATCTGGTTGGCCCCGTTCTTGGCCAGCTTGGGATTGGAGGAGGTGCTGGAGGCGGGCGGTGCCTCGGTGCCTGTGGGCGGAGCCTCGCCCAGACCCATGGCACTCTGGAGGCTGGTCAGCGCGTACTTCATGCGACACTTGGGGAGCGTGGCCGAGCCCTGCTTGAGGACGTCACAGCTGAGCAGCTGGTTGTGTGAGGAGCGTAAGCTGAGGGAGCTGGGCGGCGTGGCCAGCGGGCCATTGCGATTGGCCACGTCCAATGACATCATGGCTGATGAGGGGTCCACTGAAGGGGGAAAAGATAGGGTGGGAAAATGAGGTTTGCAGGTCAGTCTCCACATTCACAGTTACAACAATCATATTGGTAGAAGGTAGAACTGAATAAATGATCCAACCACCTCCCGTCGCAGAACATAAATGGATCCTCTGGGTCCTCATGACCGAACACACTTCTCTTTATTGCGCTGAATAAAACTTGAGCTCATATCAGCTAATGAAGACTGACGAGCCGTCTAATCATCTGCCTGTTCATAAATACGCGTATCCCTCCTTCCCAAGTTCATACTCTTTCAGTCCTCCAGAGTGCGACCAAAAATCCATCGCGTGCAAGTTAATTTTTTTCCTTGATGGCACTGGTGTGGCTAACATTTTGCCGATTTATCCACTTTGTTTTTTCTCAAGGTCAAAGCCAATCAAAGGCAGAGAAGGGGCCAGTTTTCCCGAAACTACACATTTATGAATGTTTTAAAAAAGGTATATTTTAATTCATTAGAAAATTGCTTACATTTATAATAAAACATATATGTTTTATTCAATTATTATGTTATTAATAATTAATAATGAATCATTTACCTCGACAGTGGTATTTATTATAACTGTACATTTAGTTTGGTAGCAACATGTCTGCTGAACCTGCAGGATTATAAATATTACCTTGGTAAATCGATATTAGGAATTTTGCTTTACCATTGTATGCATTTAATTGCAGACCTAGGCCTAATTATATTACACATAATCCAAACACACCTTTTTAAAAACTGTCGTAAACGTCTATTTTATTGATGTAAACACTAGCTGTCGCAATCAAGCTGAATATAGGCTATATAAATCTAATGATGTTGGTTACATTATGAATCCAAATGCAATTTTTAAATAATAATTAATAAAAACACACCTTTTTAAAATGTACTCTTTTATTAACGCTTGCTGCCACTGTCAAGGTAAATATACATTAATAATTAAAACATATTATTTATACTATCAAGTTAAATGTATGTGGTTTTTAATGAGACTAATAAAATCGCCTTTAAAACATTTGTAAACGTAGAGTTTCAGAAACACTGGTCTAAGAAACACATCCTGCCTCATGACAAGCGTGTGACCACCAGAGTGGCAAACCAAAGCCTTTTCTGGAAGGTTCTGGGAGCAGCAAACACTGTCGAGTCATTTAAGTCTTTGAAGTTTTCCAGTTTTGTCAAGTACTTTAAACTTCATAACTTTTTTAAAGTTTTGCTTTAAAACAATGAAGTTTGTGCATTTTTTTGGTTTGCGCCGTGATCCAAACATTTACCGGCAGCTTTATTCCCATTTTCAATCATTTACATAACTATCAATAAGTATGGGAAATAACAAAAAAAGGGAACCTTAAATTGTATTACTGTGGAGCTAAAGGTTCTGTGAAAAATTCAGGTCCAGGCACAGCCAATGCAAAAATCTACTCTGGAGTCCTGCCAGTCTGTTCTCCTGCCCTTTTCTCCATTTATTGTCCACTACATTTTTAAGGCCTGGCTTCTGGCTTCTGGGAAATTACCACCGGCTTCCTTATATGCAAAGTCCAACGGCGAACTGTACCAACAGCACATCTATCAAACCTAAAGTCTGCGCTTGATGCGCTTGATAGTCCAGTGGCAATGGTCCATGTTTAACTGCCTTTAAGTTTCCAAACACAGAACAGACTGCTCCATGGTACAAGCAGGGGGACGGTTACTCAGGAAGACGGGCAGAAATCACCCCCCCAGGGACAATCAGTACCTTGGAGATACGACAGAAACTCGACCCTGATTTCACAAAAGACCCCAATTACGTCCGGCTGAGCACAAAGGAAAACATTCCCTGAAAAATCAGAGCCTCTGTTGTCAAAACCAGCTTGAAAAAAAAAGGAATAAAACACTTTTTTGTAATTTGCCAGAGCCCCCTCTGTATGGGCTCACAGTCATCGCCCCAGCTGACAGCTCAGGGACCGAGCTCCTGTGACTCACCAAACGATGACCTGTGAGACACACACATACGCATGCACACACACACACACACAGACCTGTAATCATATCTTTGTGGGGACTCTCCATTCATTTCTATGGGCAAAACCCTAATCCCAATAATGACAACCTTAACCCCTACCCAGCCCTAATCTTAATTATAAGTAACCAAACAAAATACAAGACTTTTGGCATTTTTAGTTTTTTGATTGCAGTCACAGATTTTTATAAAACTGAGGTTATCCTTGTGGGGACCAGAAAAATGTCCCCAAAAGGTAAAAGGTTACAGGATTTTATCAGATCGTGGGGATAATCTGGTCCCCACAATGTAATAATTACACAGATACATGGGCACACAATCTGAATGCCTCATTAAACACACACACAAGCTTCAGGCTGGTGGGAACGGAGATGGAACGTACCAGAAGTCTCGATGGCGTAGGAACTCCCAGAATGCCGTCTGCCCATCATGGAGGGTCAGTTCATCACAGAGCCTTTGGCAGCATCCAGCGGGGGGGGGAGGGGGGGTCTATACTGGCCGCCTCGTTCTGGGGAACAATCAGACACACATTCTATAAGATGAGCTGTTTAAAGCCAACTCTGTCTCACGCTGATGACACAGAACCCCGATATGCTGGGGAGGGACAGAAATGTTAATATTTATCCTGAAAAACTAAAATACATGCAGACGACCAGACCCAAATCTTGAGGACAATGGGTCTTTTTCAGCAGTATTTCAATTCCCCACAGTGGGTGAATCTCAATACGTGTACTTGACTGTTCGTGTGTTCCCAGGTACCCGTTTTACGTCATCTTCCGTTGCCGAAGACCAGTTCAGAGGACGGTAAAAACCCCTGAATGCTGGTCTTGTTCCGCCCCAAATATCAAGGATACATCGGTAGCATCCTCGCCGAACGAGACCAATCCCATGATTCACTGTGACCCAAGTTTGTTACTGGGAGGCAAGTTAGCAAGACCGGTCTTGCCAAGACCACAAGTACGGTCTTTGCGTTCTTGGTATTGAGATTCACCCAGTGACTCGAGTGGCTATTCGGCATGGTTCCACTTTCAGGCACAATGCCATCACAAGCTTACTAACAGGCTCAGGAAGGGGCTTTAAGATCTTTCACAGAAGACCACAGTATCAACACCTGAGGTCACCAGTTATAACCAGATATAGGTCAGGTTGAAGGTCTTGTTTTTTGGGGCTATTGCCTTCCTTCCCATTCCAGAAAGTGGCACCTCATACGACGGTAAGAAACCTCACCACAATGCATGATCTCCAAAGACAGGACCCAGCCAACAAGCACAACCTGAAACTGTACCCCTAGTGAACTGAGTCACCCCCCAGAGTCATCCGTGCAAGATAGCCTCCCTCAAATTGTTACAAGAATGCGTGTTATTTCCCGGTGTTCTCTATGATTAACTGCAGAGCTTAAGAGATGTTGGTCTTTGGATATACTTTAGATCCCATCTAGTGTATCACAGTAAGTGATTCTCGGAAAAGAATTATTATTAAGGGCAGTAGGCAGAATAAATCCAAGCAGACATACCCACCACAGTTATAATTAGAGTCACACAAGGTATCGATTAACATATGTTGAGATCGGTGTCGATCTCTGCCATTATTTCCCATCGAAATTTTGACTATTAGTCATTATTCAAAATACTGAAATATTGGAAATGATTGCTGCGAATCATCAGCCATGTTCCTAGTAAAGGGCGAGGTATTTTGTTGGCTCATGCACCACTAAGAACCACACTATTGTCTCCAAAGTTGGTACTACTTTACTGATGTTTCACTGCTTTTATTATAGGTCTGGGCAATTCATCAAATTTCAATTAAGAGTTTGACTTTCAACCATTGTCAAAACAAAATAACTGAGATAAAATGATTAATGTGCTTCATTTATTTTCATAGTGATGCTGCCCATTTGTCTTGGCAGTGGTGGCTTAATGGTTAGGGAAGCACACTCGTAATCGGAAGATTGCAGGTTCAAATCCCCGACCAGCAAGACACCACTGAGGTACCCTGAGCAAGGTACCGCCCCCAAGCACTGCTCCCCGGGCGCTGAATTAGCTGCCCCCTGCTATGTCACGAAAGTCACATATGGGTTAAATGCAGAGGACACATTTCGTTGTTGTGCACTGTGTGCTGTGGTGTGTCAACAATGACAAATAATCTAAAATAAAATTTAAAAAAATCCAGCACACCTCTTTCTGCCCCCCCCCCCTTTTATTCTCAGTTAAATTATAAAGTTCAAGGAAATCCACTGTTAAAAAAGATTTTTTTTTTTAAAGTTCAATAAATGTGTGATATTTCCAAAGTCAATGAGTTATCATGTTAATCGTGATCTCAACATTAACCAAAATAATCGTGATTATTTTGCCCTACTGTATTATATAATGTGTTTACTCAAAAGATCTTCAGAAGTAATGCCAGCTACACTACACTACAGATTTACGTAGCTAAGAGGTTAGCCAGTTATTGGTTTCGGTTTTCGGTATCAGCAAAAAATGTATTGGTTATTGGTATCGGCCAAAATTTCAACATTAGCGAAACGCTAATCGAATATCTCAGAGGGACAGTGTTATTACCCTTTCTGGTCTGCTCTTGGACAACGACCCAAGCGTTCACACCAAACTAGATCCTTAAGCAACTCTCATTATCAGTATTTACATCTCACCCATCAAGGACGTGCGAAAATCGCATTGTTGCTGTCGCGACTTTTTGTTGGCTTATATAGCGTTGCTATCCCGCTTTACACTCTGGTTCTAAAGCCAGGCATTTTGTCAGTGTGACGATGAGGATTTCCTGGGAACTAAGCCAGCAACCAGCGTTCAGGTTACAAGTTATTGTCACTGACAGCCAAGCTACCCCCAGGAGGTCCTGCAATTGTAAGGGGAAGCAGATAAGGATCCAAACTTCCGAAAGAAGGTTCTCCAGGAGGGACATCACTGCTGGACCCATAAGAAAGATACTTAACCATCAGTTTGGTCACACTAAACTACTGGAGACGGCCTGGATGGGGGTTTCATTAGCTAGACGAAAAGGAGGGCAGTGTGCACCTTAGTGGGTTAGGACACTGTGGGCGTCAGCAGAAGGTTGCTGGTTCAAATCCCGGGGTCAGCAGAGTGATTCATCATCGGGCCCTTGAGCAAGGCCTTAAGCCTCCAATTGCTCCAGGGACTGTCTGACCTGCTTTCTGGAAAATGTACGTCGCTTCGGATAAAGGGATTTCGGACAAAAGCGCCCGCTAAATGCAGTCCGAGGTCAGGCAGGATGATGCATCTACCTAAACTCAGGGAGGTAGATAATGCTGGAGGCCCACTGGCGACCAAAGTGGGTCAATAACAGACTCAGCTTTCATTTTTTCCCCCCCTCAAAACCCAGTTCACTCAAAGGGATTCTCAATATCACGAATGAAGCAAAGGCACAAACGAGGAGAGATCCAGATTCACACGTCCAGCTCGCCTGCAGGCACAAAGAGAGAGCACCAGGAATATAAAGCGACGGACGAGAAGCTAAAGCAATGCAGGTCCAATGCCTCCTAAGGTTAATAATTAACAGGAAAAAGCAGCCAAAGTCAACACAGTGTATGTGGCGAACAGCAGGCAGGGGTGCCTTTGTGGACAGGTGCTATCCCAGCCTGCACGTTCACGGGGTCTCCAAAACACACTCGCTGCAGGAAGTGCGACAGAACTCCAGGTCTGCTTCAAAGCACATGCAAAAACAGCCAAAACATTCCCTCACCCCATCTGCTGCCCCCGGTCTCCGTGGCAACGCGGCCCCCCTCCCTCCTCCACTTCCCAGAATCCTGTTCTACAGCGGGCAGCACTACCGACACCCCAGGCACATAAATCATGTGACGCAACCGACATCAATGGCTGCTGGGTGATTTTTCTCTCTTATCTTCATCATCGAGAAGGGAGGGCATCATCCCAAATGAAGGACACCGTGAAAACTGGATGGCAGACTTCCGCATGGAACACAAGTGACGCCATCTGTCCCTGGTGGCTCCGCAGGGGCCCCTGGCCAGAGGAGCATGAGAGGAGCTTCCAGTAGTTCATACGTGTTTGATCTCCTCTAATCTGAAAGCTGCTCACCTTCCTCGGGCTCTGGGGGTGTCTGGGATACGGCTGTCAGCATCCTACCCCCCCCCCCCCCATGTCAGATGGGGCATTAAGGGGAGTGGGGGGTTAGGGTTAATTAGAGCAGAGACAGCAAGCCCCACCACCCCCCCCGGCCCACGGTGAACTTCGTGGCGGCAGCTGATGAGCGCCACCTGCTGGAGGCTGACATAACCACCACGTGAGGAGCGGACGCCAGACCACCCGATTAAAGCCGGACATGGAGACGAAGTCCATGGGGAGGACAGGGACGTGGTCAGCGATCAGACCCCAAAAGGAATAAAAAGAGGAGAGAGAACCATGGAGAAGATGGGAGATACCTCCATCTGGGAGAGACAAGCGGAGATAGGGGCTGATAGGAGATAAAGGGGAGGTCTGGAGGCTGATGGTAGACGTGGCAGAGATCTGGGGGCTGATGGGAGAGCAGCTCATAGCAAACCCAGACAGCTCACTGTCTGTCAGCACCCGGCTGCTCTGAGACACCCCTCCCCCCCCCCCCACACACAATGCCCTCCCCTTACGCTTAGTTGACAGGACGACAGCTGATGGGCCACACTTCCTCAGGGATGCACTCTCTGCAGACAATACCACAGTGTATTAAAGGTCCCACAGAGGGCTGGAACAAGCATGGGGCGGGGGGGGGGGGGCGTTGGGCATGCTCAGTGCCATGACAACCGCTTCCAGACATGGCACCGGAGCAGGCACATCCGGGCCAACTGAACTAATGTGCGAGCAGCCACACAGTGGACTGGGGGCATGTCGGCATGGGAACATGTGCCAGCAGTGGCATGGAGCCCCCAGGGGCTAAGGGGGCCGATCGGAAATCTTCCTGGCATTCCGGGCACCACCTCTGAGTGGGAGGAGCCACACGCATCCTGTGTATGAGCACGAGCTTGTTAGCACTAACAACAACAGGATAAGACAGCGGCCCCCCAGGAATCGAGGGGCGTTAAACCGCAAACTGGCCACGGCTTGGGGCCCCGTGTCAGGAAGCCACACCTGCGATGTCAGCGGACTCCACACCGACATCACAAACACAGCAAGTCACGTGACATTACTAAACAAATAAGGACCAAAGCAAATACTGGGCCAAGTATCAGCTTTACTCCCTATATTGCACTTTTGTCTTTGTCGTATCTCTTACGGCAGTCGTCTGTCCTATTGCCCCCCCCCCCCCCCCGAGCACCTCTCCCCAGGCAGGCAACTGTGGCATGAGCATTTCACTGCGTTCCTCGGGACATATGTGACGATCAAAACTTTAAAGACTGCAGAGTTAATGCTTTGCCGTTCACCCGTCCTAAGACACTGTTACTCCAGTGGCTCTCTCTCTCTCACACACACACACACATTCGCAGCTAAACCAGAACATTTACACTGCAGTTTATGAGGACCAGACCGCCTCCTCACCACCACAAAC